CTTTTAAAATCTTCCTAAATGTCTTTTACTCGTCTAACTGTGGACGGTTTGGTTAACGGGTGCTGTTTCTTTTAATGTGCTTGAAAGTAAACTTGACTTGGCAACAAAGGAAAACCAGCAGCTGAGGTCAGGACCCAAAACTCCATCTGCACCTGAATGTAGAAACACATCAGAGCACAACAACTGGACCATTATGGCCTGATAAACTTTCACTCATGTGCCTTTAATGTCTCCCACTGCTGTTGGGTGCATCAGAATTTAACACAAAGGCAAAATGAGAGAATCAACGACTCTCAACGATCCAATCAGATGATTAACTGCCGCCCTGCACCAGCTGTAGAGCCTTTGAGATCTGAGTTGAAGGGCTTCAGAAACTCAAGTCCAGTTGCCTCATTTCAGCACAGTGTAGACCCAAATTCTCAAAATTATTTAACAGATTAATTCAATTATGTTTTTAGAAGCTCTAATCAGCACATGTCAAGTCAAGTCAAGTTTATTTATAAATGGCCTGTATGGTAAATGGCCTGTATTTATATAGCGCTTTACTAGTCCCTAAGGACCCCAAAGCGCTTTACATATCCAGTCATCCACCCATTCACACACACATTCACACACTGGTGATGGCAGCTACATTGTAGCCACAGCCACCCTGGGGCGCACTGACAGCACATTTAAAAACAACCAAGGCTGACCAAAGTGCTGTACAATAAAATACAAATATAAAATACAATAAAACACAAGTACATAAAACACCTCACTGTAAACAAATAAAACAATAAGTTAAACCTTGCTAAAAGCCAATGAGAAGAGGTGAGTTTTAAGAGCAGTTTTAAAAGTTCCTAGGCTTGTGGAGAATCTGATGTGAGGAGGTAAACTGTTCCACAGTCTGGGTGCAGCCACAGCAAAAGCCCTCTCTCCCCTAGTCTTTAATCTGTACCTGGGAACATCTAAAAGCATAGGTCTGCTGACCTCAAAGATCATCCTGGGGCGGTAAATGCTAAGAAGCTCTGCCAGGTAAGGAGGTGCAGTACCGTTAAGAACCTTAAAAACCAGCAGTAAAATTTTAAAATCAATCCTAAAAGCAACTGGGAGCCAGTGGGAGAGCAGAGGACCGGAGTGATGTGGTCTCTCTTTTTGGAACCGGTCAGCATGCGAGCAGCAGCGTTCTGCACCAGTTGGAGGCGATGCAGACAGGAACGATCTAAACCAGCATAAAGGGAGTTACAGTAGTCCAGCCGTGATGTAATAAAAGCATGGACCACCCTTTCTAGATCGTTCCTGCACAGGTAGGACTTGACTTTAGCTAAAATCCGTAGATGATAAAAAGATCCCTTGACTACGGAGCTGATTTGTTTATCAAATTTAAAAGCACTGTCAAAAGTAACACCGAGGCTCTTAATGGAGGAAGTACATTTGGAAGTTAGGGGTCCCATAAAATCAAAGGAAAGGTTGGGGTCTTTAGGAAGCCCAAACACAATGACTTCAGTTTTACTTTCATTTAGATGTAGAAAGTTAAGAGCCATCCAAGTCTTAATGTCAGACAAACAGGAGAATAACGGCTGCAGAGAGTCCTTACAGTCTAACCTCAGAGGGAGGTAGATCTGAATGTCATCAGCAAAGGTGTGGAAGGACACATTATGTTTGCGCAGCACATCGCCCAGAGGGAGCAAATACAGAGTAAACAGCAGGGGGCCTAGAATGGATAACAGTATGGATAACAGTATGTTGTGATCAACAGTGTCGAAGGCTGCTGTCAGGTCTAAGGTTACTAGGACAGCAGCACAACCAGAGTCTACAGTTAAAAGCAAATTAAAAACTCTCAATAAGGCGATTTCAGCTCATCATCAGGAGAGGTTAAAAACCTGAGAAGTCACCAGAAGGTCTGCAGATGCTGTGCATTAAAATACTGCAAATCTTCTGTGTATTTGTGGTGTGTAAAGATTGTAAACAGTGGTGCGTAAAATGTACTTGATTGATATACATTAAAATGATACCACATTTTCCTTAATGACTAAATAAACCCATTTCAGCTACTCAGATTTGTTGCTTCCTGTTGACTGAGGGTGAAGGATCATTGTTGAGTGTGTGAAACAAACTGCCTTTCACATCAGGACAACATTGGACACTTTTAAAATCTTCCTAAATGTCTTTTACTCGTCTAACTGTGGACGGTTTGGTTAACGGGTGCTGTTTCTTTTAATGTGCTTGAAAGTAAACTTGACTTGGCAACAAAGGAAAACCAGCAGCTGAGGTCAGGACCCAAAACTCCATCTGCACCTGAATGTAGAAACACATCAGAGCACAACAACTGGACCATTATGGCCTGATAAACTTTCACTCATGTGCCTTTAATGTCTCCCACTGCTGTTGGGTGCATCAGAATTTAACACAAAGGCAAAATGAGAGAATCAACGACTCTCAACGATCCAATCAGATGATTAACTGCCGCCCTGCACCAGCTGTAGAGCCTTTGAGATCTGAGTTGAAGGGCTTCAGAAACTCAAGTCCAGTTGCCTCATTTCAGCACAGTGTAGACCCAAATTCTCAAAACTATTTAACAGATTAATTCAATTATGTTTTTAGAAGCTCTAATCAGCACATGTGACATCAGGCACCACAAGAGGTTGGTGGTTTTTAAGGTTGACCTGTCGATCAACAGACGATGGTGAGTTTTCATTCATTCTGTTGTCTAAAACAACTTCCTGCTCACATTAACACGTAGCTGAGGAAATGAAATATTGCTTTTGTGTAAATGATTTAATCACATTAGTACTTGGACTAGTTATAGTGGACAGGAAATATTTACATTCACTGTAATGTCCAGTTACGTTCAACCCCCTGCAGATTTGGAAACTAGGACACTGATACAAATGGATTCAACAGCATCTTTAGCAGAAGAACCTTTGTTCCAGTGATTACATTAACATTTAAGTGTTCACCTTCAGTTCATGGCTGTGGTGTGAAAGACGAGTGAAAGAAGTAACGACAGTTATGCTGGAGTAACTGTTATTGTTCCAGGAAGCTGGACCCTGCCCCTCTTATCAGATACCTGCAGGGCATCCCAGACGACTCGGAGCATTTCACACCTTGACCGAACAAACCCAAATGGGTGAATGGGTGGGTCAACGACTCTGAGGCATCAGGAGAGGTTAAAAACCTGAGAAGTCACCAGAAGCCAGTCTGAACCGCAGGACGAGAGGAAAGATGTCTTCAACCATGGGTAAGTCCTGGCTGCCTGCTTTTTAGCACTTAGATGTTCGCTAAACTAAGTCATTCTTATTACAAATGTACAAAGTGATTCTTTTAATTCTATCACTGCTTTCATCATCATCTATTCCTGACCTAACCTTTCTTCCAAAAAACTTACCAAGTTCAGAAATAACCTTAACATTTATATTGTTCTGAAGGCGTCTTTTTAAAACAAAGTAGAAACATTTTATTTTTAATAGTTGCTGAGATGAAGTGATGCAAACCATCAGCATACACGTGATCTTGTCCTGTATCTTGGTGTTTACCAAAGAAACATCATGCAGGCGGCTTTGCTAATGACAGAAACGTCCAGTTTGAAGCTCCAGTCAGTGTACGAAACGATAACTAACGGCGAGAACTCATTTTCCTAATGAGTAAAGAAACTTTGTGTTTCAGGGCCACACGGAAGAATTTAATTCTGTTTCTCATTGCATTGTTGCTCATACATTTGTGATGCTTGTACCTTTCAGATATTCAGCAGCTGTTACCAATCAAAGAAGAACCAGATGACTGGAGCCCTGATATGGAGCAGCAAGTCTCACAGCTCCTCAGCATAAAGAAGGAAGAGGAGGAGGAAGCTGACATCACTGATTTCCCGCTCGCTGCTGCTGCGGTGAAGAGTGAAAATGAAGAGAAAGTGCACTCACTGTTTCATCATGTTAAAAATGAATACAAGGACGAGGAGGAGACGCAGACCTGCAGCTCAGGTAACAAACAAATTAAATTGAACTATGAAACTGCACCAACATTTTTTCTCTGTGAGGAATCAGGTTTTATATTTTGTCTGCTTCTGTTGTGGCTTTGTTAGTTTCACTTCAGTAATGTTATTAAAATATGGAGGGTATTTTTAGGGCGAGATTTAAGAACAAGTGATGAAATCCATTGAATACAGTCACCTCGCTAATTTGATTTGTTTTATTTTAGTTTCTCTTCGTTTTAACTTAGTTGGCTGTGATTCGATTGGATGATGTAACTCTGTGAGATGGGCTTTAGGTTAGAGCCCATTCTGCAGGATACTGGAAACCAGTGTCCCCATACACCCAGCATTTTGGCTTTTTTAAAATATGCTCATCCATCTGTGTGTACCTTGCAGGTGTCCATCATCTGTTTGATATTAAAGAAGAGGTTTCCCATGAACGGAGCCCGATTGAAGACTCGGACTTCTTCCAGGAACGCTGCATTGGCCAGGATGGACTGCAGGAGGATGACACACGTGCAACAGCTCCCAGAACCTTTCCGATGCCAATATTCAGTGTTGCGTCCCGCAATGCATTGCAACGCCTCAAATTTGAACAGAGAGAAAAAATCAAATTCTGCGTGGAAACCAAGATATCTGTGAAGAAAACCTTCCAAATGCTTCAGGAAGTTTACGGCAGCAAAGCAATGAGCCGATCAAGATGCAAGGATTGGTATTTGCGTTTCAAAAATGGCAGAACATCCGTCGCTGATGAAATCAGGTCAGGGCGACCCAGCACGAGCACGACTCCCAAGCACATCCGAGAAATCGATCAACTTGTGCGCCAGGATTTCCGGATCTCTCTGAGGGAGATTTCTGCCATTCTCAACGTGTCATTCGGAACGGTCCAGGCGATCCTGACGTCCACTTTGAACCTGCACCAAGTGGCTAACAAGCTTGTGCCCAGGCTACTCACTCCCGAGCTGAAGCAGTATCGTTTACGAGCCTGCGAGGATCTCCGTCAACAGACGCGAGATGACCCAACGTTCATGTCCCGGATCATAACTGGCGATGAAAGCTGGGTGTACGGCTGCAAGCCTGGAAAGGCAAGGAGGGTGAATCCGACAAGGAGCCAGTTCAAGGTCAAGCTCATCGTCTTCTTTGACATTCACGGGGTGGTGCATCGGGAAGTTGTTCCCGACGGTCAGGCGGTTGATGCTCCGTTCTACCTCAGCGTTATGATGCGTCTCAGGAAGAACATCGAGGCCAAACGACCTGAACTGTGGCAGAAAGGCGACTGGCTGCTCCATCACGACGACACACCCGCCCACGACGCACTGAAAGAGTGCCATTATTTCTGCTACACCGACACAAATCTCATTCTTCACCCACAGCACTCACCAGATTTGGCCCCCTGCGACTTCTTCCTCTTCCCCAAAATCAACGCCAAGTTGAGGGGACATTTTTTTGACACGGTGGAAGAGCTCCAGCATGCGTCACTGATAGTACTGGATTCACTGGGAGAAGAGGACTTCCGCAGAGCTTTCAGAGCGTGGCAGCAGCGCTGGGTGTGGTGTGCTGCTGTGCAAGGCAACCGCTTTGCAGCTGATGGTGGCCAGATTTGAATTGAATACATATTTTTGTATATTTGTTTCATATTTTTTGTATTTTTATTCTTTTTTTTGCATTAGCATGCATTTTTACTGATGTTTGATCTTGTTACATATAACTTTTTTTATTGTTTAAGTAGAGTGAAAATGGTAGGTGGTACATTGCCATTGTAAATATGTCAGCATGTGCATATTTACAATTGGATCACTTTATAAAATGTAAATAACAACAGAACAACAACAAAAAAGAGAAGGATGGGTCTTATTGTCATGATCAGAGCGATCCAATATTAATTCTCCAGATCCTCTGAATCTTTTGATGATAGGTGGTGTTGATGTTTAGATTGGCAAAGTCTTCAGTTTTACATTGATAGTTATTCTGAAACTGTTCCACAACTTTTAGATGTTTCTTGTTGTTTTTTGCAGACTGGTGAACCTTTACTTGAGAAATGTTTTTTTATTCCAGTCGTGTTGTTGACCTGTTGCTGTAATTAGTCATGAAAAACTTCCTCCAGCTGTTTATTTTTAGTCCCTCTCGCAGCCTTTTTGAGATGTGCTGCTGCCATAAAAGCCAAACTGAGCGAATGTTTTTCATCTCAGGTCAAACATTTGATGTATTTTGTTGGCTTCTTTTGTGAATAAAAATATGGATTTGTGAGATTTGGAAGTCACTGCATTCAGTCTTTATTTTACACAGCATAGTTTTAGTTTGTAGTTTGCTGGGCACTGGGAACGTAATAGAATATAATAGAGGGTAGATTTTGCAAGAAAGTGACTGCTCCCCTCACACTCTTCTTCCACATAATGAGGAAAAAACTCTCCAAACTGGACTAAAGTAAAAAAAATACCGTAACTGAAACATGATGGACCAACACAGAAAGACAACCATTCATTCTCACACTCGTATTGGAACTGCCAGGTATTCTAATCCAAGCATGTCTTTTGACTGTGGGATGCCCAGAGCCCACACTAACCCCGGACCCTGTGACTGCGAGGCAGTGCTGTTTACCACCGCTCTAACACGAGAGCCTAAATTACTGTCAGTACTTCTTTTCTGCTTTTTGTACACAAATAAAAATAGTTTTTATATATCATTTGCAAGATGATACTAAATCCTCTAAACTGTGTGAAAAATCATTTAAAAATAAGCAAATGTATCATGTAACCTGGTCTGATGGTAGAAAATACCCATATGTGAACAATCATATGCAGAGATTTTCTTCATGTGGTACCAAATCACAACAACTGTTGCCTCAAGGTCCTTTATATTGTGAGGGAAAGACCTTAAAACAATACAAAGGAAACCCCAACTATCATATGACCCCTATTAGCAAGCGCACATAGGGGGCAAGGAAAAACTCCCTTTTACAGGAAGAAACCTCCAGTAGCTCAAGCAATCAGCCAACTTTGACACAAATGAATCCCAGCATTTTATATCTGCAGGCTATGTCTCCAGACAATCTGAACAAGGCTACAAGGGAAACAGCTCAGGGAAATAGGACACAGGAGAAGTCAGTCAGGAAAATAATAGAGGGGTAGCAAAAGTCAAAGCCACAAGAGACGTCAAAGCAAAAGAGGAAATAACCCAAAAGATAGCAAGAAAGCCCAGAGACAAGAAACTACCGCTGACCACGAAACACTGACGATGCAGGAAGAATAAAGAGAGGATAACTTACAAAACTGAGCGATTAAACACAAAGAAAAACTCAGTATTCCCAGGGATCCACAGCATACTGGAATTTAAATGGGAACAAATAAACATGAGCCTAAAAATACAATAAACAGAAAAGTGTAAACCTTGAACACTGGAGATGCAGGAAAACCCCAAAGAAGCTCAAATTCAAACATATAACCAAAAATGTCTAAACTCCAGAGCACAGTGAAACCCAGAGACCTGGTTTGCACCGACTAGCAGACATTTTTTCCCATCATTCTCCACTGCTGACTCAGTGTCTGTCCTCCACATGCCCAAGACAACATCCACACATCATTCTTTACTTTGGCATGAAGCAGCTCACAGGCCTAGTTTAAAACTGTCTCTGTGAAACTCAGACTAAGACGAGTCTTAGTTTGGAGCAAATAAATGAACCCATCTCAGATTACAGCAGACCTAAAGTCAGATAATCTCTTCCCCCCTTTTCCTTTTTTTTTTTTTTTTTTATATCATCAGGATGTACACCTCACCCCTGGCGTCGTTGCCCACCTCTCAATTTTAAATACATGTAGACATTGAGGGCTATCAGGAGGGGCTATGCGCTTACCTGCTGCTCTCTGGCAGGTAGCTCCATGCCCTCCTGGGTTTTAAATGCACCTTAGAACACACATGCATCAACACTACATATGAGTAGGCGGAGGAAGGTTTGGAGTCTTCTCACACCCCCGTTCTCTGCAGCCTGTTGGAGCAGGGGGGCTAGGAGGAGGAGTCAATTTTCCGATTCAAATCAATTTTAGCCAGAATCTCAGGTTAACGCTCACAAAACTATTTCAACAACCGCCAAACAGCTAAAAAAGTAAATGTGAGCAGGTAAACGGATTCTGCACAAAGATGCATCATTCACTCGATGGCATGTACACAGACACACCATCGAGGCTGAAATTCAAGTGTCACTCGCCAACCAAAATTCACTGAACCAGCAGCAAAAGAAGATCAAAACTACGCTTCACGTTTGATATACATAGTCATGAATTCCCTCTTACTTTTGCTGTTTTGCTTCTACCATGATACAAATCACAGCTCTTTCTCTCTCAGTGTACTTCAAGAACAGCTTCCCATCTAAAATCTTTGTTTTCTGCATTATTTGCTTACTTATTAAGCACCAGTCTACTGTTGTGTACAATGCTGCCAGGCGGTAAGGGTTTTTTTTTTAAGGACCTCCGACATGACAGTCTAATTTCTGCTGTTCAGTACTGAAGACATTTAAACTTTTGCTAAATTGCAAAACACTGTGTCTCTAATTAAACCTCTGTAACTTTGCTCTGCTTCAGTTCAGCAGCATCAGGTAATGTAGTTGTTGTTGATTCATGGTTTTCTTCAGTTTTTGATCCACTGCAGAATATTTTTAAGGTTATCTGCTATAAAAAGCCAGGCCAGGAAAATCTCCTTTGTGTTTTTCTGTTTCATCGTCAGTTACTTTGACACAAAGGCATCTGCTCTGAAGCTTACACCTCTGATGAAGTCTCACAAGCGTCAGTACTGATAAATGATCAGAATTATAATATTTCTGACACTCTGACTCAAAATTGAAGTGAATCGAATCGAGGATTGTAGAAATCATCGATACCCAGCTCCAATTGTATATATGTGACTTAAGACTTAAGCAGTGTATTAACTTAACTGTTCACAAGAATATTGATTTTATACCTGAAGTCTCTGATTTAAGCAGGCAGGTAGTGCTCAATTGGTTGATTTTATATGAAAGAAGGATGAGATAACATGTCAAACACCACCTTTTCACCTAAGCCTGGGCTAACGAAGAAGCTCAATGTTATGATATCAGTTACTTTTACATATCTACACCCCGCCACCTCCAAACAGGAGTTTTGGTTTTCTCGAGCCAGCTAACCAGCCCCTCATAAAGAACTCTCCTCGGTGTGAACTTTCATGTGTTTCTTAAGAAGTACGCTTTGGTTAAATTTCCGTTCACACTTATTGCAACCAAATGGTTTCTCTCCAGTGTGGATTCTCATATGTGTTTTGACGTTACACTGATGTCTAAATTTTTTACCACAAACATCACAACCGAATGGTTTCTCTCCTGTGTGAATTATTCCATGTTTACTAAGCGACTTCTTTTCATTAAATGTTTTACCACAAATATCACAGTGGAACGGTCTCTCTCCTGAGTGGACTATCATATGCCTCTTAAGCCCACATTGAGCTCTGTAGGTTTTGCCACAAAGCTGACAGCCAAACGGTTTCTCTCCTGTGTGGCACTTCATGTGTTGCCTGAGATCATCCTTTACATTAAATCTTTTATCACAAAGATCGCAATTAAATGATTTCTCTCCTTTGTGGCGTCTGGTGTGTCTTTTGAGACTGCACTGTTGTTTAAATCTTCTACCACAAATGTCACAACTAAAAGGCTTCTCTCCTGTGTGAACTCTCATGTGTCTTTTAAGATTAAAGCGATGTCTGAATCTGTGTCCACAGTCATTGCAGACGTATCGTTTCTCTGCTTTGCCTATGCTTGTCTTTGAATCTGCTTTCTGCTTCACCCTGGAGCATTTCTTATTAAGCAGATGGCTGGAAGGTGTTCTTCCTGAATGACTTGTCACGTGACTCTGAAGAGACTGCTTGGAGAGAAAGTCTTTACCGCACTCTGAGCAGCTGAAGGATGTTTTAGCAGGATTTGAATCCGACTCCTTCCGATTACTGTCTCTGTCTTTAGTTTTAGGTCGACAATTGGACAAAGGTTCCTGCCATTCATCATCATCATCAGTAGCATCATCATCACTGTTGTTACCATCAACACTGACTTCTGCCTCAAAAGCAGCTGAAGCTTGTTTGTCAGTATTAGGCTCTGAATCTCTGCGTGGATCTGAGTTTGTGGTCGTTTCTGGTGCTCCACCTGTTTCTGTTTTTATGTGATTAGCTGAGCTGCTGATTGGAGGCTCATCCTCTTCCTCTTTTTTAACTTCAACTTTAACCTCTTTTTTAAAACTTTGGCTTTGATGCAGCTCTGACAACTGAGGTTTCAAATCATCATCATCACCATCTTCACTCTTCACAGGAACGCCAGTGATGAGGAGCCCATTAGATGGCTTTTCCTCCTGAGTGCTCCAGGTTTCCTCCTGCTCTTCCTTTATGTGGAGGTTTGGGTATTGCCTCTCCAGAGTTTGGATCCATTCAGGTGAAACTTCTTCTTTTTTAATAACCAACAGCTGTGGGATATCTGCAGGAAACAATGAAACATGTAGATAAATTGTGTGATGTTTATATGAATTCTACATCAGCACAGAGCTGTCCCATTATCTAAAAAGAAAAAGCCAAATTAAGAAATATTAACATATTTTAAAATATGGAGAAAAGAGCCTTGTAATGCATTTACGGTGGTCCTACAGAAAAACGTGTTTATAGGCCTGATGTCACAGTTGTTGAAGGAAATACAGAAGTAGCACAGCATCTCTTTAATGATCAGTCCAGAATGCTCAGAATGAAAAACATTAAATATGATTCATCAAAGTCAGGTGAGGCGTGCCCGACATGTTCTCTCAGGTGGAGACGCTGGAGTAGGCCCAGGACACGCTGGAAAGATTACATCTCTCGGCTCGCTTTGGAATGTCTTGGCGTTCCCAAGAATACAGTAGATGCATGGATAGGTATCAGACTGGCACTCAATATCACCAAATTTCCAAAGAAAAGGTGTTTGTGTGGTCTTGGAAAGGCTGGATTCTTGCAGCCCTAACTTATTGCGATTGTGTAGTTCTTCCTGTTATGTTTCATGTAAATGGGTTAGTGAGCTTCTCGCTATGATAGAAATTCAAGCTAGGCTATCAAAGAGCGATATCGTTGTTGTACTTTTGATACCAAGTGTGTGAATTCCTGATTTGTTATATATGAAAAAACAATTGTCCCCTAACCTTATTGTGCAACCTTTGGCAAAAGCATCTTAGTCAGATTTGAGCCTGGACTTTGACCAGACCACTGCAGAGGCTCTGTTTTGTTTTTGTGAGGCATTCGGAGATGGACGTACAATACTGATGTGTTTTGGATCACTGCTCAAGTGCTCTTGAGCTTGAGTTTTATGCTAGATGTAAGGGAACTTGATTTAACAGGCAATAATCAGGCCTCAGTGTGGCCACTGAAATTGAACTCAGCTTTCAAAAAAATGTGATTAATCAGTTAATTCATGATTTTTTACACTTTTCACACAGGGCCAGGTAGGTTTGGATATTTTTTCCCTTGTTTTTGTACATGTAAATGTGACAAATATACAAAAAAATAAAATAAAATAAGGGGCAAATGCTTTTTCCATAGCATACACTATGACAATGTAATTTGAGTGCATTTTATTTTGTTTTCTAACACTGTACAGTTTGCAGAGACGCCATTTACCATATGTAGACTGGGGTGTACCTGAGAAGGAATCCAGTAGAATCTTTGTGTCACCTCTCAAAGAACTGAAGTAATGATTGTGGAAAATTATATCATGAAATATCACATTTTACAGTTACCATGGACTGACATGTGCTAAACTTGAACATTAATCAATTTTTAAAAATTTAATTAAATTAAAAATGACAGAAACATATTAAGGATTTTCTGAAATTACAGTTCAAAAATAATATAACAATGTGGTAATTTAAACACAATAGACTGATTATTTGCTGGCTGTGCCTTTATTTTGTTTTTAATATATAGCAGTATTATATGGCAGTAACTGTGGATAAATGTGTGGACAACTTCAAATCCACTTCTCTTGCATATTTCCACAACCATATCCATAATCACATACTGTGTATGCTATCGTTGTATATAGTGTATTATCTTACTTATTTTATATTTGTTCGTATTTTATTTGTATTTTTGGTATTTTCCTTCTGCTATCTGTACCTGAGATGAGGTAACACAAAGATTTCCCCGCCGTGGGATCAATAAAGTCTTATCTCATCTTATCTTATCTTATCTTAATTTTGTGTGACCTTTTCTTCAGACAGCATTAAAATGTTTGATATTTTATTATGATGTGTAAAATTATTAATTATAATGTATTATATGTGTCCAAACCTGTACTGGTCTAAAGTAAAGTTATTTTTGTAAATAATATAAAAATGACTGCTTTCATTGTGTTTCTGCATCAGCAGCACCGTAATGTCGACAATAGAGGAGCAAGAAAATTTGACTTCGCCGATGAGGGTAATCGTTTGCCATAACGCGATGCAGCGATTAACAGCAATGAAATCTGATTATTCTTACCAGAGGTTTGGTTTACATTCTCGTCCTGCTCCGGCTGGACTCCGAGGGTTTTAATATCAGGTTTTTCTTCTAAATCCAGACTTTCTCCGCCCTGCTCCCGATAATAATCCACCTCCTTCATGCTGTCTTCATTTGTCTCGTCTCCAGAATAAACTGCAGGTTCGTATGAGAGAAGCTGGGCCTCGGCAGAACCGAACACCGCACAAACACATGCCGATTACATTCTTCTCCACGTGACTGTATTATCAGAGCCGGACACAAACAGAGCGCACGTTCTCATAAATTAGCACAGGCATCCGCACGGACACCTTTGATACCGAAACTTGTCCTGAAGCGAGGTTCTTTAAAAACCACTGTCACGTGACCAGTGACGTTTCACGTCATCAGCCCTTCACTGCGACTTTCTTCGGTTTGAAGCTTCTGTTAATAAACACTGTTTATTAAACAGTCCCAGAAATAGCTGATAAATCAAACGTAATCTTTTTTAAACACTGTTATAAGACTAGACAAGACTAAGAAAAGAAAAAAATAAGACGTTTGGGACCCCATCGTCAGCTGCGAAGCTGCAGCAGGTGTGTTTTTAAGTGAAACTTGTCTAAATCTGTTAGATACGTTTAAACTGGAAAGTGTTTGCGGAGTATTGTTGGTGTGTGGGTCTGCATATGTCGTGTCTTTTTAGTAAGTAAGTAAGTAAGTAACCTTTATTTATTAAGTGCTTTTCACAGACAGGCAATCACAAAGCGCTGTACACAAATATTAAAATATTAAAATAAACAATAAAATCAATAGACATTATATACAATGTAAAAGATCAAATGTAAATAATGTAAAAAAAATATATAAAATATGTAGATCAACAAAAGGCTTGTTTGAACAGAAGAGTTTTTAACTGTTTTTTAAAAGAATCCACAGAGTCAAGCAAACGTAATTGTAGTGGTAAACTGTTCCACAGCCTTGGTGCAACAGCTCTGTCCCCTTTTGTCTTCAGTCGTGTACGGGGAACAACTAAGAGACGCTGAGTCTGTGAGCGGAGATGACGAGCAGCAGTGTATTTTAAAAGAAGCTTGGATAAGTAATCTGGAGCCATTTAGTGCTCTGTATGTTAAAACAAGAATTTTAAAGCGAATTCTAAACTCTATTGGGAGCCAATGTAAAGAATATAAGATGGGAGTGATGTGAACACGCTTGGTAGAGCGAGTTAGTAGTCTTGCTGCTGCGTTTTGTATTGTCTGGAGGCGAGAGAGAGATGATTTATCCAAGCTAGTAAACAGGGAATTACAGTAATCTAAGCGTGATGACATAAATGCATGAATGAGTTTTTCCAGTTCAGCTGAGGAAACCATATGTCGCAGTTTAGAGCTGTTTCTTAAATGATAGAAACAGGAACGAGACAAAGATTTTACATGAGAGTCAAGGCCCAGAGAAGAGTCAAATATTACTCCAAGATTTCGAATATTTGACTTGACAGATGGACAGAAAGAGGCAAGAACCTGACTGATTTTAGAATGTAGCTCAGGAGGAGCTATGATCATGGTCTCGGTCTTGTTAGTATTTAGAACAAGGTGCTTGAAAGCCAATTTACCATTTTATTACCAGCTATTTAATTCAGAGACGACACTGAAGACTCAACAACTTGCTAACTGAAGTTAACAACAAAAAATTAATTTCAGTGTATGACAATGATGTATTTATTAATTAGGAACTTTTATTGATGACCTGAGACTGAAACAGTAAGCCGCGTCAATGTTTAAGTTGTATTGCCTTCAGTTATCCACCAGATGTCGCTGTTATTAGTGACTTTTTTTAAAACTCCGCTTTAAACCACTGAAAACATAAAAAAAAATAATAATAATAAAGTAACAAAAATATGAAAAGGAAAAACATGCAGTGCATGATCTTCACACCACAGGAAATGAATCTTTTCTTGCCGGGATGGCTTCATTTTATTTATATATGGATTGTCTGCAGGCTGTGCAAAACGCTGCAGCTATTCACACGTGACACCATTGCTACCTCAGGTACACTGGTTTCCTTCCCATTTTAAGATCCTGGTCATTTAGAGCCTTGCATGGACTGGCACCAGTCTACATTTCTGATCTGCTACAGCCCTATGTCCCTGGCAGGTCCCAGAGGTCATCCGATCAGGGCTTACTTGCTATAAAAAAAGACTAAGATGAGAACTAAGGGTGATAAAGATTTTGCCACTGTGGCCCCTAGGTTGTGGAACTCTCTCTCCCAAACCTTAAGAACTGTGGACTCAGTAGTTGTTTTAAAAAACAACTCAAAACTCACCTTTTTAAAACTGCTTTTGATTAATTTTTGCCTGTTTTATATTGTCTGTTTTACCATTTATTATCTAAAATCTTATGTGCAGTACTTTGTGACTCTGTCTAGAAAGGTGCTATATAAATAAAATTTTATTTTTTTATTTATATACAGTTGAAGAAAGTGACACCAGCTTTAGGTTCATACATGCAGTTGTAATGTTGTAATCATAAAATTTGTACTCCAAATACATTTTCCAAACTACACCTTCTATAATTATTCATAGTTGGACCACTGCTCTACATCAGAACAAACATCAGAAGCAGTAATGAGCTCACTGATTGTTCCATGCAAAAGTTTTATGGCAATTTTCATTTTAATGGAGAGAAACAGTATATCATCTAGAAAAATCCAGAAAAAAACAAAAACACATTACATAAAATCTGTAAACTTGCCTGGATTCTGGATCCCACGATTGGAATCTGTGTCAGCAAATCAACACATTACTGATACTTCTGATCGCACCTTAAGCACAGCTATTTAAATAATTAATTTCTGCCATTACAACCTCTGGTCTGACCCAGGGCAGTGGAAAGTATTATAGCATTAAAATATTAAAATACAAACTTATTTAGATATGACAAAACAAAGCTGGTATTTTTTTAATAGGAAGGCAGAAAAAATATCTCACATTTCTTCTTTAAACATTATAAAAACCTTTTACAAAAACATATTTCTTTCTCCAAATCAGGGAAAACTGATCGTTTGTTTTCCTGCATGTCGCTTACCAACACAAACCACACAGTTAAAGACACTTTGTGCAGTTTTTCTTATATGTGGACTTTCATGTGCTTCTTCAGATTTTCCTGTCGTGAAAATTTTTTATGTTTTGTGTAATTTTTTTTAACTTTGTTTGTTCGTATGTATTTGTTTGGAGTACAAAACGCTGCAGAAAGTACAGTAAGTAACATAAAATCACCCTCCTTTGAACCTACAAATAAAAAAACTAAAAGTAACTGCGACATAAAACAGCAAAAACTAAGCAGAATATAAATTATCTGATTACTGACTACTCAGTCCATCACATCTCCTTTAAATGCTTAATTACTGCCCTGCCCCTTTAAACACTGTACAAAAGCTTTAAAAGCCAGAAATTCCACATTTTCATGCCATAAGGTTAAAGAGTTTAGGGTTTGAGCTACTTTTCATCATCATAGAGCAGACAGTAGTTTTATCCATCCCACATGTTAAAACAATGCTTCATATTTTATGATAGTGATTTTTTTAAATGAAAAATGTTAGTTATTGTTAAGAATTCAGAAAGCAGAATAAAATTAAGATAACGTTGTGCACTTACAAGGAGGGCTCAAACATGCTGTAGTGAGCCTCTATCTCTGAAAATGTTCTCAGGAAGATTTTGTATCCCACCTTTCAGCATATTTAATACTAAAGAGGATCTGACTCGGGGGGGCTCAGGTGGGAGGCAGTCACTGACGGGAGAAAAAGAAAGAATAATAAAAGTGGAACCCTTGTTTCCAGCTCAGTTTCTTTGTTTCGACCGTGGTCGCTCCGCTGTGGGATCGCTGGGGGCGCTAATGTGTGCAACACCCGGTGTTTGAGTTGCGGGATGGAGTTTCGCTGACACACACACACACACACATATACAAAAGCGTTACGGAATATTTGTTTTGACCCTGTCTGTCCACTAACAAAGCCAAATCTACCGGGCGCACCTACCCGAGCAGAATGGCCGATAATATTGTAAGTACAGCGGCGGGTGGGCTCCGGCTAACGTTAGCTAGCCTGTTAGCCGGACTCCTGAGTGATGAGGCAGCAGAATTAGCTTGGCTAGCATTAGCAAGCTAACATGAGCTAAGAGTGACCAGGGCCTGTTTAGCTAGCCGGCTAATATGATAGCTAGTAGGCTAGCTGACGACATCCGAATGAAAAGAGTCATTGTTGGCTAACGGGAGAGCGACAATAACGGCCGGCTTAAAATGACTGGCATATTCTTTCAGCTTTTTAGCATGACAGTAACACGAATAGCTCGGTAACGATGGGAGCTGTGATGTTGCACATTCACCACGAAAGTGATATTTAGTTAGTCTGTGAATGAGCCAGTACACACTGACAGCTTTCCAGAGTAGTTCAATGTCAACATCGTCATGTTGCAGCTAAAAACCAGAGATTGATGAGCTAACGTTAACCCGACTTTTCTTTCTGCACTGTCACGGTTGTCATAATACCCCGACACTGACACCGGAGGGGGGCAGAAAGGGGGGGAGCTGCGTCCTGGTTTTGACTGACAGGTGTTTGAAATGCTACAATGGATTCGGGCTTGTACTGTAACGGCTGAATTGTGGGTTTATTTCTGTCCCTCCTTTAGATCATCAGGGTGCAGTCCCCAGAAGGGATGAAAAAAATTCCTTCTACAAAGAGGGAGACAGCTGCTGCTTTTTTAAAGAAGGTAATGTGGTAAATATAACAGCACTCAAGCATCTTGTTTTCTTCTGTGCTCTAAGGGCTGGTTTCCAGCCTCAGGATTTATCAGTTTGGCCTGGCACTCCAGTATAAGGGGGTCAGTTCAGGCTTTAAATGAAGGTGGTGGCTGACTTCTGAACAATGCAGGATTTTAATTAGTCATGGCTGCTGTCTTCTTCCCTAAGCCCCATTCTGCCTTTTTATAAGGATCCCTGCTGACAAACCCACTGAATAGCTAAGAAAACAGTTTAGTTAAAGACTTGTAAACACATTATAGTTTTAATTCAGCTGTAGATAGTATGCTTTATTTGATGTTTGCATAAGATAATGAAAAATGATCTGTGAATAGTTGTCCAGCAGTTACAAACACAATAACATCTAAGCCGGGGCCATCATATTCTGTTCTGCTTATGACCTCTTTGGGTTTCCGAAGGCATGGGAGAAGATGAGGGAGAGTGAGCTCAAAACAGTTGTCCTCAGGTTTTTCAGATGTAAAGGAGGGGAAACAGGTATTTTCTGTAGCTTGTGTTTCCATAAACTGCCAGGCACCAGCACTCCTTCACCTCAAGGCTTTGTCAGCTCATCCTTATTATTTATTTTCCTGGAAGTAGTAACACCGTGTCCTCATGCAGTTGAAAAGTCACAAAATTCAGAGTACCATCCTAATCTGCACGCCCTCCCTCACTTCATCTCCAGTTCACAAAGATTACCCATGTTTGCTGCCTTCAGGGTACAGTGGTGCCACATTGTTTTAAATTGCTATGCATTGTAAAATTAAGTAAGAATAATAGACATAAAATAAAATGGTCACAGTTTTCTGGCTGGAAGAATGAAAGGCTATCTGAAAGCCACTGTATAGTTGCAAAAAGACTTTGATCCAATAGAAATCTGGGAAAAAAGCAACTTTTTGTTTTGACCTTTTGGTGACACCATGTTTCAAAAGGGGAGATTATCAGCTCTCTCAGTGGTTATTAGACCCATCACATGCAGTTACTTGTGGCCAAAACAGCAGGAATGTTATTCTTGATGCTTCAAAACAGGTCTTTTTAAACCAAAGGGCTATGATATACTAGTCATGTTAATACTGTCAATCATAAGGATGTACTGATATATGAACCAAATATAGTCATTAGCTGATATTGGCATATCAGCAAGTACGATGGCATTTATCCACATCAGTAGCTGATATTTATCTGTTGTGTCACATCGGTCATGTGCTGGCAAAAAAGCAAAGAATTTCCCACTCTCTGCTTTCCTCCACACTAGAACTGGATCCAAGCCTTCTGTACGTTATTTCCACAGTACACTGAAAACCTGTGGAGGCCTCTTATTTTTTCCACAAAGAAAACTGATTAGAAAATGTTTTATCTTTCAATCAGTACAGGAGTGTTATGTGTTGTGTGTGGGCTTTGTTTTGTTTTTTTTCCTCCTCTTGTGCCTGTACATGCATGAAGCTGTGTAGGAAGTAACAGAGCAGGTCGGTCCTCCACTGCTCCTGTGCGTTTTTGTGGATTGTGTTTGATGTTTTAGAGTCCAGGCATTGCTTCACATCACAGAAGGCACAGATAAAAGCAGATAATCTATTTTTTTATAGGACTTGAATTTTACTGAAGGCCTGTTAATAATTTAATCCACTTCCCCAAATCTAGTGCATAAAATACAGGAAATTCCTGTATCCATTTACAGCTGTCTGGTAATGTTGAACCCAACATTTGCACCAGTGGTGAATCACTGCTGAGCTGGACTCACATCAGATTTGGACAACTCCTAATCTGATGTCAGTCCAACTCTGCAGGACTGTGAACGCCCTTTGGTGTTTCAAGAAGTTTGGCTGACACAAACAGGCTTCAGAGATGTGAATTTGAAGACCTGCAAACATGAACTGTAAGTTAAAACTTTAAATCTAAAGACCTTCTTTACCAAAAAGGACAGAAGCCGGTGAAATGACAATAAAAAATGAAGTGATCTGCTTGATTGGTAAAATATCAGGTATTCAGGTGACAAGAGTCAGCAAAGCAAAAATAGGAAGTTTTAGCAAATTGACAACAAACGTGGTAAAATACAGTGTGAGGTAAGAATAAGGCACCGTAAGACTTATAGTAAAGCTGACAAATGGTATTACTCCCAAGTTATACAAGTCTCACTTACCAAAGGACTTAAGAGCCACTTTCCCCTCTGTTTCTGGGTAAATTTTCTCTGTTATGCTTCAGTTTTACACATGAGGATGGGAAATAATTACATTTGCATTTTAATCACTGTCTATGAAAAGCCTAAAATAGAAGCATATAACGCAGACAGAGCACTGCAGCAGCACCTCATCAAAATGCATTTGTTAAGGCAGGACTGTGTAGCTTGCAATTCAATGGAAAGTTTTCACTCCACAATGAAATGCAGCTATGAGCCAGACAGAAAAGAGAGGAGCTGAAAACAATGTCTGATTGTGTACTTTTCCCATAGTGATGAGATCTTACGCTGTTCTTTTGGTGTGTCATGAGAAAAGTGATCCCCAGACAACCTCTATGCTTCTCACTGCTCTTCTGTTCTCTGCTAGTTTTATTAGTGTGGACTTTAAAGACGTCATCAACTGGTTTAGATGTTAGAGGAGGGAATGTTCTGCTGAGCATTCTTTCTCCTGAGAAAATAGCTTTTAGGTGGTTGTTGAATGAAGTACTTTTCAGACTAGAGCTGGGCGATATATCGAGTTTTTAAAACATATCGATATATTTTTATACGAGATATAAGATGTGACAATATCCTTTATATCGATATAGTCTATGTTACGTTATAATTATAGTTGTGGAGCCGCAAGTTTGCCTCTCTTTCGTCCACTTTTGTCTCTACGCAACGTTACTCCGCCTCTCCTTCACTGAAGACAACTCCCCCTCCTCCCCCATCGCTTCACGTGCAGGCAGCGACAAGACGGACACGGCAAATCTCCGTTAACGAGTTACTGCGCATCGCCCCATGCGTGGGGCTGGACGGCATCAACGTGTTAACGAGCTAAACATGCTAACGAGCTAACCGCGCTAACCCTAAAATCCTTTCATTCTCTCAAAAGTTGATAGCGCGCCTTATGTATGAATTCTGGTTGTGCTTGATGGCCGCGAACCGATTTTATGTGGTACACGGCGCTCAGCAATCTGTCAAAAATGTTTGAGTACGACTTTGCTAAGCTACGGAGCTGCACCGCTTGATCGATTGTCGGCGCATTACGGCTACCGAGGAGCTTCGCGGAGTGATACGTACTGTGCATCAACGTAATATTACCGTATTGTGTGTGTATAAGGACCATACATGGCACCTGTAAGAGACGTGGTTATGAAGCGGATTTCAAACTCCAGGCTATCAGTCACACAGTAAAACTTGGGAACAGAGCAGCTGTGAAATCTGTCTGTCTTTGTTATTACGCTCAGTGTCTTTTAGTTTACATTTTGACTGCACAATTGTGAGCTCTTTGTTTAGCACAAAAACAACCTTGTTTTCTTTTATTTATGGAGCATTATTATTTAATGAATGCTCATAATTTAATTTTGAGTAATTTTTCATGTACATCTGTGCTGTATGTTAATAAAAGTGCCAGTGTGACATCTGGGACACAGCTTTGACTAAGAACTCTCTTTTTGTTCTTACTTTATGGCTTAAAAAAATATCGAGATATATATCTTATATCGCCATCCAGCTAAAAAATATCGAGATATGAATTTTGGGTCATATCGCCCAGCCCTATTTCAGACATAGGTGTAGAGTTCTGGAGTGCACCGGATCAATGCCACTTTCTTCCTCAAAGTGAGGAAATATTGGTGTTTAGCAAAATTCTAGTGAAATCCAGTTATCAGTTCAGTATATTTCATGTAAGAGAGCCATTAAAGACTAATCAGATTTGAAGTCAGTATTTTTCTCCTCTGTCTGTAACTAGTAAACGTAACAAGGTGCAAAATATGCAGCGCAACATAAGTAAAACAGTGTTTATAGAATGACACAGAATACCAAAAATAACTTGGTTTTTTTTTCACAAAACCCAATATGTAAGTTTTTGGGGTTTTTTTTTTTTTTACCATCAGTACAGGTTAGAGTCAACTATTTGGATTTGTGGAAGTTTCCTTTGGTTCTGTCTAAAGCCTCTTTATCAGATCTTAAAATGCATGTATGTGGAAAAAAGGCCCACACAGGGAAATGATCAGCATCCCGCTGAGTGTATTACAGTTACATGATGTGATGTAAAAGTGCTACGAGGGAGACCCTCCTGTTGGATCCGCTCAGAGTGCCAACCATAAAGAGGTGTTCCTCCAGGCTGACGCTCTTTGCTAATCTGCTTTGAGTGATTGGTATCTTTTCAAGAGCAAACTGTCTTTACACAAGAACCAGCACATGTGATAAGAATTCACTCCCGGCAGCACAAGGCTTTGACGTTGATGCTTAATGATGAATTTAAAGTGTCTTGATGGCTACCAATGTTTTTGTTCCAGGCTATATGAAATGTGTGTCGTATCGATATTCTTGTCAAAATCCGGTATCTGCTTCTCCCACAGGTGGCCAAAGAATTTGGGTTCAACTCTAATGGGTTTTCGATTTATCTGAACCGCAACAAAACCGGAGAGCTCGTATCCCAGAACAAAACCCTCAGCCTTCTCAAGATCAAGTAAGTAGAAACAAACAGACTTTAACCTTTAATTAGAGTCTGAATTTCACTCTTGCCTCTCCGGGGAGTGTTGGTTTCCAGAAATATCTTCTTTGTCGACCTCCACAGCTTTAATCATCTTATTCTTCTCTCTCGTGTTTTGTAGGCATGGGGACATGTTGTTTTTGTTCCCTTCAGAATCCTCCACCTCCTCCGGGGAGGTTATGGACACGGCCACCCCTCACACATCTTCGTCACTACCATCCGTCTCGTCCTCTTCTTCGTCCTCCATGATCCCCCGGTCCTTTTCAGCGCCCCAGGTCCAGGAAGATGAGATCGATCAGTATCTGGCCAAGCAAGATGGCAAGATCTACAGAAACAGAGATCCGCAGCTGTAAGGAAGAGGACCAGCTGCACACATCTGACCTCAGTGCAGATGTTGGATACCTAATCATTCTTTTCTTGTTCCAGATGTCGCCATGGTGCCCTTGGGAAGTGTGTGCACTGTGTACCGCTAGAGGTAAGATATTTCATTCCTGTGCTTTGTTTCTTAAATGATGAATGTTAGGGCTATAAAGCATGTTTCTTCTGATTCCAGCCTTTTGACGAAGACTACCTGAATCACCTCGACCCACCAGTGAAGCACATGTCATTCCACGCATACCTTCGCAAGCTGACGGGTGGCGCTGATAAGTGAGGAGCTGTTTTTAATTTTCCAGTTTGGTTGCTCATAATGTCAGACTCTGACACTGTTCTGATCTCCTGCAGGGGGAAGTTTGCTGCTCTGGAGAACATCAGCTGTAAGATAAAGTCAGGCTGCGAGGGTCACCCTCCCTGGCCGGAAGGCATCTGCACCAAGTGCCAGCCGAGTGCCATCACATTGAACAGACAGGTATGTCACGGTAACAAGTGTTGGGAGAAATATTTGTTTACTTCTTTTATCAGCAAAATACTTGAATACTTACCGAAAATACTTGAAGCGAACCTTCCTGTCCTGGGAGTACTCCATATTTCACCATATGAAAGATGGAATGAGCTCCAGAACCCTGAAGTGGTTTAGAAAATGAATGGATTGGATTACTCTGCAGCTGTTTTACTGAAAATGTGCCTATTTGCTTAATACTGCACACATTTGTAATGTTTTCTGTCCCTGTTAATAATTTAGATCACAGTAAAAGTTTCAGGCGCATTAAATGGCAGGTGTACATTACAGTTAGCTTCAGTACAAAGTGCTGAGCAACACTGGGAATTTAATCCCCAAGTATATTTTAGCATGCAGACTCCTCCTGAGCGGCTGCTTCCACATCTTCAAAGAAACTTGATCCATGTCTAAAAAAACCAAACAACTGTCCTGAGTATCACACCGTGTATGTGAATGTAGTTTTTCTTTTCCCCCCCCAGAAATACAGACATGTAGACAACATCATGTTTGAGAACCACACCATTGCTGACCGCTTCTTGGACTTCTGGAGGAAGACGGGCAGTCAGAGGATGGGCTACTTGTACGGCAGATACACGGAGCACACAGACATCCCCCTGGGCATCAGAGCGGAAGTGGCTGCCATCTACGAACCCCCACAGGTGGGACATTCTCACTGAGCGTATTACCGCCTGATTCTGCTCTGCAAGTGAGATTGTGTCTTAGTTTATTTGCTCAATAAGGTTAAAGTCCTCACTGAGCATTAACTGCATTTAAAACTATGCTGTTTTTCTTGGCTGTGTTTCAGAATGCCACCCAGAACAGCCTGGAACTGTTGGATGATCCCAAAGCTGCAGCCGTGGACGAGATTGCTGCCAAACTGGGCATGTGCAAGGTTGGGTTTGATTTCCCCTCAGTGCTCTGTTTGACCTCACATTGCTTTCATGTTTGCATACAGGCAGAACTATATGCATGCACATATATACAAAAAATAGATGCCTCTACAGTCAGACCTTAATCCAGTGAATGGATTCCAACTCCACCACTTAGGCTGCAGCTGGCAGACGTCCTTGTTCTGCTTTGCAGCTTTACTGTGCTCAGTACTAGTTCTCCTGGTAGAGTGGCCTTCCAGCTACTAAAGGGACTACTGTCAGTGTCGAGTTGGAGTCTGTCAGAGAGCTCAAGACACCTAAATGACCCTGATTAGCCTGTTGCTGCAAGTGGGGCATGGATGACCAGCTAGAAAAATCTGACATGAAACTTAAGAGTGTACTCAAAACAGGCAGTACATAACATGCCTGACCACAATTGTCCCCCAGAAGTCGAGTTAGTTTGGCGTGATCTCTATCCCCACCCACCCTCTTGACTCCAGCACTTCTTCAGTTAAAGCTGCAGATTTTCTATGAAAATCTCTTTAATTAAATAACATCTGTAAGGCCTGTCAGAGGTCAGCCTAAGATTAAAAACATGACAATAAAATAATGAATGGATTATTTTTAATGACAGTTTCAAAAATACCTTTCTCTGCACTGTTTTTAGCTCATATTGGGCTATTTTTGTAATCGTGGTGGTAAGTTAATAGAAAGCTTTCTATGGAGCTTGGTTTCAGTCTGATATCTCAGAGGGCACAGCACAGGCAGGCGTATGTCCAATCAGGTGTAGCTCGGTGTTTGGAGCTGTCAGTCATCTGTCACCACTGTTTAGTGGCTCACACATCATGTGTTTGGTACTGTGAAGCACGGTGACCTTCACGTGTAAAACGGGAACAGCGATGGGGAGACGCATGCTGTTGCTGTAATGATGTGTTAGTGTGGTGGGAGAAAATCATGCAGGGATATTTGGAGTATTGAGAAATACAAATTTATTTTGAAAGGTTGAAGAAGCACAAAAATATTTTTAAACTTCAAGACTCGGGCGTATGCAGTGATGTTAATCCTTGCATGTGTATGCGTTTTTTGCGTATCACCTGGTGTCTTGTGGGTTTTGTTTATCTAAGGGCTGTTTTTGTTCCATTTAGATAAAAAGATGAAACTTTGAGAATTGAGTTTAACTTATAATTTTGTTACATCATGTAAAATCGCTGAATATTCGAGCAGATAATCTTATGAGTGGACAAAAGTTGGTAATTATTTAAGTGTTTGCTTGTTCTGCAGGTGGGGTGGATCTTCACGGACCTGCTGTCTGAGGATACGAGGATAGGCACCGTCCGCTACTCGAGAAACAGCGTGAGGATCCATCTGACTCAAAGATGATCTGTTAGTCTTAATTGTGGTGTTTTCCTCTGTGTATCCTTAATGTCCTTACTTGTGTTAGGACTCGTATTACCTGAGCGCGGAGGAGTGCATCACAGCGGGATACTTCCAGAATGAACATTCAAACCCCTGCAGACTTTCTCGAGACGGACACTTTGGATCCAAATTTGTGACTGTGGTCGCGACAGGTTGGTACTGGTTTTTTTTTTGTTTTTTTTTTCTTGTGAGTGGCTTATGAATGAGAAACAGGGGAACATTTTCTTCATTACTTTATCAATGCAGGCATGGTTACTTGATCATAAACCACAAAAAAGCATCTCTTCCCAAAATGTCCTTTTGGCTTTTCCAATGGGAACACAGTGGCATCAAATCCTCACGTCACACCCTAAGTTGTCGTTAACATGGAAAATTATGTAGTGAAAAGCAGAAGGGGGTCGATGTCCTCTTATCTGCTGAAGTTATAAACATACTGGACAATTACGCAGGTAGATAACCTTTTTTTTTTTTTTTTTTTTTTTTTTTTTTTTGTCATATAAATCTACCACACCTGTAGAAAAATATTTCAGGTAAAGGTGGGCACACAGCAACTCATGCAACTGGATTTTTATTTCGTATTTGTATGTTTTTCAAATAGCAGAGCCATTTATTTTTGAGCTGTTTCCGGGAGAAGTCGTAAAGTTTAATCATTTCTTTTTGTTTGTATCTGCTGTCGGTTATAGACCTTAGAAAAACATTCAGTATCTGCAGGTCACACTTCAGCAGGCTTAAAAAAAAGTGATTTGGTGCAACTCTGGGTGTAGTTAAGTTTGTGGTTCAATCACAGATTACCTCAAGCCTAGAAAACTGCTTGACAATTTATTTGGGTCAGTCTAATACAGGGTGTCCAACTCCAGACCTCGAGGGTCGGTGTCCTGCAGGGTTTAGATGTGTCCTTGATCCAACACAGCTGATTTAAATGGCTAAATGACCTCCTCCATGTGTCTTGAAGTTCTCCAGAGGTCTGATAATGAACTAATCATGTGATTCAGGTGTGTTGACCCAGGGTGAGATCTAAAACCTGCAGGACACCGGCCCTTGAGGCCTGGAGTTCCCCACCCCCTGATCTAAACAGACTTAAATCATTCATTAATCTGCACATCCCAGAATGCAACACTCAGCATGTTGTAGCCTCTCCTTTCATATATCCATAGAACTCTTACAATCTTAAAGAAAACTGGTTTACGTGTTCAGTTTACAGCTTTACTGTAAGGTCTGTCAAGTGTTAAACTACGACTTAAAACATGTGCGTCCATTTGAAGCCAGTGGAGCCAGACGTTGTGCGGGATCAGGGATGAATGTTTTCACTGCCTTTTGTATTTGTTCCAAGAAAACACCCAGCAGTGACCTCAACACTTTTATTTGCATGAGTGAGGCCCCGGCAGCCAAAGCTGATGTCATGGCTACGCATCTCGCAGCAAGCAGGGGCGAAGTCCATCTGTTTTACTGTTTGTAAATCACTTGCATGTGTAATGCTAAACAGACTTTACACACTCAGTGTTATACACTAATACACACTATAGTGTTATTGCAGTGTGCATGATTTCTCTGTTGATATTTTTAACTTCTCATCAGGTTGTCCTTGCTTATTAAGATTGACTTTATTCTGGCTTTGTCAAAGATTACATTTTGTGGTAAACTGGATGAATAGAAAGCTATTTAAGGAGAACTTAAACAGCTCAAAATCACTTTGTTTAGTTCAGCTTGAGCTGCTAAGGTGACTAAAAAATAGAGCATTCAGTTAGCAACATCTACTGAGAAAGGGTGAAACGCTTAAGGTTCTCAGGGGAACCTGTGGATTATTGATGGTTGGCTTATCTCAGGATCCCTGATCACCTGATCCACTTTATACAGCACATCACATGTCACTGCTGTCTTTGGTTGTCTTGATAGTCTTGTGGTTGTTGCACAGCTCTCCTAACGTGGGCCTTTGTTAGTGACTGGCAGTTGCCTTTGCAAGACTAGTTTTAAAATCATCACCATCCCTAATTTATTTGCAATGGAAATAATATTTTTGTTTTTCAGCGAGTGGTTATTATTTATTTATTATTATTTATTTATATTTCTCTGTACTGTTTTATGTGCAGGTGGTCCAGATAACCAGGTGCACTTTGAAGGATATCAGGTGTCCAATCAGTGCATGGCTCTGGTGAGAGACGAGTGCCTACTGCCCTGCAAAGACGCTCCCGAGCTGGGCTACGCTAAAGAGTCGAGCCCTGAGCAGTACGTACCAGACGTCTTCTATAAGGTGAGATGCCGTATAAAAAAGCTCTGATGTGATGAAGTGTGCATGTTTAAGAAAAACATAAATATTAGGTACTTATTTTAGGGTTAGATGTTACTTATCAGCTCATCCAGATGTTGAGATTGATTTGTCTGATTTTCACATCCAACAGGACAAAGACAAATTTGGAAATGATGTCACGTTTCTAGCTCGACCTCTTCCCGTGGAGTATCTTATTATAGATGTGAGTATTTTTAATAATACTTTTTGTTACTTTAGTGCAGCAAACTATATTCTGACACTAAATTTCCGGAAAACTTGTATAGAGAAATATTATTTTCTTCGCAGATAACCACAACTTTTCCAAAGGACCCCCAATATACCTTTTCTTCTTCGCAACGCTTTCCCATTGAAAACCGGGATATTCTTGGAGAGACACAGGTAAGTACTGTCAGCATGAGCTTGTATTTCCCTCATCCGATTCAACAAGGTATAAAAAGGCCATCAAAGTATTTGGTTTAAGGGGAGGATTGATGGTCCCAGTTTGGGAAATGGGTGTTTGGAAATTTAACTGATTTCTCATCCCCTTCGTCTTTGTACTATTTTCACGCTAATGCATAAAGACAGTCGCTCGTCCGTCCGTAGTGTGGCTATCTTCTACAGATAGCAGAGACACTGAAGAATCCATCACAAATCTGGCATTCCAGACAACCCACAGTGGAGGTTGTGGGCAAGCAGGGAACAACAAAATCCAATAGCTGAAAACACTCTTCATCTCGCGTGTTGTGGTAAAATCACAGAGTGTTTAGAAAGGAACTCTCAGACAGTGAATTTAAAAATAGCAGCCATGCTGGAAACTGTGTGGACATGCCTGAGTGACTGACTGTGAAGGTGTGGTTTAATAATTCATCTTGTTTTTCTTGTTTGTTTGCAGGATTTTCACAGTTTAGCCACATACCTGTCCCAGTGCACCTCCACATCATTCCTGAACATCGTGTCAGACTTTCATCTTCTCCTCTTCCTCGTCACCAATGAAGTCATGCCTCTGAGAGTAAGTTCAAAGCCTTGACGCTTTCAGGTTTTCATTTGTTTCCCATTTGTAATGCAGACGATGGGTTGGACCGCATTCTTCTCCAGTCTGGAAGTAGTTACTCCTCCAAGGATGTTTTCACTCAGACCTTTCTGCTCATTTTCAAACCGGCCCATCACGACGGTCACAAACATTGTTTTTCTGTAATGAACCGCTTGATCAGATTTGGATGTCCTACATAAAGCACAGACTTGCCAAACGTAAACTCTCTGGTGTACTGTTTTTGCTTTTAACTCCTCAGCATCTTGAATGATTTTCAGCGGATAGATGAAAGCTTGTGTTTGTATTTGCAGGACAGCATCGGGCTGCTACTTGAAGCAGTGAAGACTTCTAATGAGGATCTGGCACAGACCTGGAAGAAGTCTGAGCAGTGGGCCACCATCGAGCAGCTGTGCAGTAAGTCAGGTTTTTATATGAACCACAGATTTAAATTCTGTTTTTGAGGGCCTGTAAACTTGGTGTCTTGATGGTACATTTCATAAGGTTCTCATCTGCACATAACCATAAATATATAGCAACATAACCAGCTGCCTCCCCGGTGAGTCTTTTCCTGCAGATAGACTCCACCGTGTTGAACTGCAGCTCATTATTAAGCTTACATGCTCTTTCTAAAGAGCGCCTCAAATAAACCATGACTGCACAAAAAATGTTCGATCACACGTGTGTTTGATATGGTTGGTATTAATTATTACTAATAAATATGAATAATTTACTATGGTTAAGAAACGAATGTGTCTCTGGACTGACTTTGAACTGCAGCAGGAGGAAAGAAGCTGCAGACATTTCTATAAAGTGGAAAATCACTCAGATGGTGTGTGCTGCTGATTTGAGCTCATTAGTAAGCAGATTATTGGGGATTATTTAACTCAGCAGACCACAGAAATAAACTCTGCCTGCTTGTGACCTCTCCACCGTTACCACCTGTAATTTTCCAGGTTTTCACCAGTGTATTACAAGCTGTGTCTAAGGGGACACCCTGTTAATACTAAGTTAGCTTGTAACTCCTTATCTTGGTGTTCTTGTTAATTGTTTTAACATCTATAGACAAGACTTAGGTTTCAGTTTAAAAACAGGGAGTAAAGAACCAAACAGATGTTATATCCGGATACTGTTTCAGCTGTTCAGCTGACTCACTTATATCCACTTATTACTGAAAGAATCCTGAATGGAAGTCTGTAGGAGAAGAAACCGCAAAGATGGTGGTAGCTTTTTCAACCTTATTTCAAGTGACAAGTTAATTATAAGATGCTTTAAGAGTGAGAGGACAGATGTGTTTCTAGGAGGATGTTGACTGTGTGTTACTCTGCCTTTGTGCAGGAAATGTGAAATACATCTAAACATCTGTAGAAAGTTTTATTTTAATACTAGTTTAAATAGACTGCTGGCGCCACCATGAGCATGATCGGATTAACCAATCAGCCCCTGAAAATCACCCTGAAAGAAGTCCCTGCAGAGTAGCTTCCTGTAGTGGGAACGCTCATAAAGGTGTAGGTCCACTCAGCTGTTGATCAGAGAAAAGATGGCGGCATATCTTCCCAGAGAGGCTGCTGCATAAAACCACTTCTACTCTTCACTGTGGTAATATCCTGTTTTTCCTCTGCTGTCCTTCCAGGTACAGTGGGTGGGCAGCCCTCCAGCTCTCTGGATTACGGGGCCATGGGCGGCCCCTCGGTTCCTGCCTCCTCCTCCGCCATGTGGTCCTGCCTCCACTGTACCTTCATGAACCAGCCCGGCACTGAGCACTGTGAAATGTGCAGCCTGCCCCGCAGTTAAAACCCTTCGCCCTCGGCCCTGCTTCCACACCCTTCACCGATCGAGCTCAGTCACTTCACCAGGACCAGCTGCGAGACTCTGACGGCGTCAGCGATCTTTTCTTTTCTCGCCTCGCGTCGAAGCCTCTGCCCTTCCCATCTCACAGGCTGCTGTGACGTGCAGAGGGATTTGCTCGTTTACATCAATTTCACTGAGTCAAAATAAAGTTGAATCAGAGGGTTTTTTTTGGTTTGTATCCCTTCACACTGTTGCTTTTCTGAGAGGCAGAATACATTTTAGATAAAGCACTCTGTGGCTGAGACCCCTTTCACTCAAATAATCCCGCCGCCCTCCTCGGCTCAAACATCCTGCTGTGACTCAGGACAACAGCGAAGACTCGAGTGTTTGGATTTTTTCTCACACCAGTGCCCCGCTCACTGTCACAATGTCTTCTGGAAAATCTTGCTGTGTATAAATACATTTAAGAGTTGATACTGTTAATTTAATTAAGCATTTTTCTTTTTTGGTTTTTTATCAGATTGTAGCGTATACTTTAACATTTTGAATCTTCAGAGTGGGCTCGGCTCCGTCAGGTTTTCATAGGTCTCTTTGATGAGCCCCTTAAAGTACAATCATCAGTCAAAGCTCAGACCTGGAAACGCTGCGAGCTGCAGAGTAATCCCGCTTAAATAGAGTTTCTATTTTCAGTATTAAATTTGAAAAGACGCCCTCCTCTGATCGAACACGTTGGTGATGATCGCCCTTTTTTTTTGAATGAGCCTAAAGTTGTTTTTTTGTGTTGCTGGTTTTTTGTAGCGTTTGAATTTGGTGGTTTGAACTCGAGCAGGCACAATATGTAGCTTCTTATTTTATCAGCTGTATGTTCTGTGTCTCTGTTAAACTACATCCCCAGGACAACCACCCGCCTTCATCGTTCTCTTCACCGACTCGCAGAGTATCATCCGTGAGGTGCTTTAGAAACAACCGGTGCTCGCCACTTTCACCTCCCTGCCTGCCAGCCAGGGCAGAACTGATGTTCCTCCACTGATGGTCCCCTGCAGGTTTTCTTTTCTTCTTAATCACTCTGTGTGCGAGGGGTCGCAGGTGAACACGGGGGGGGGAACACCCAATTTAAACCTGCAAACTAGATGGCACCACCTCCCAAAATCCACGTTAAACCCAGAGTCTGTTCATCCAATTTACAGCAAATTACTTTGCAGTATCATAGCAGGAAAAGCTTTGGGTGTATTAGTGATTTTTGAAATCAGTCCACCTGTATTTTACCTGCTTACACCGGCAGAGATGTCGGCTGTAAAAGAGGATCTGTGGAAGTAAAGGGAAGTTTGTGGTGCTCGGAAAATTCCCAGTACCTGTTAAAAATACCCTTAAAAGTCTGAACATCGCTGATTTATGACGATAGTTTTCAATTTTATTTCTGCATCAAATATTGGGACCAAGACATAGCATCATAAGAAAAAAGCCCTCCTTTGTTCTGGTGAACATGCGGTGCTCAAATCTTCTCTAACATCTAAGCAAAAAAACAAAACCAACTGATGTTTTTTGTTAATAGTGTTGTTTAAAGGGAATTTTGGGGAGTTTGACACATGTGGCCAACGTTAGCTTTCACGACTTTGCATTTTTTTAGTACTTCTGGAAGTTTTGACCTGTTTAATGCATTAAAAAGGGACACAAACACCATAAAGCTGCACAGTAGTTAATGTACACCATCTTCAGGCTGTACATAAAAGATGGACCTAGCCACAATATTTAAGTCCCAGCTGAGGGTCTCCTCTGCTGCAACATTTGCATCTGGAAACTGAAAGGGACTTGTGTAATCTGTTTGTGACTCTAATAACAAACAAAATTTCCTAAATGAGCATCACGTGTTCAAGAAGACCTCAAACAATCAGCAGAAAACTGCTTAATCGGGTTTTAGATCCACGGAGCTTCTATATATATGGAAGTCTTTCTGAGTCGCCCCCTGCTGGCCATTACAGAGAATGCAGGTTTAAGGCAGCGCTTCTATGGCCATAAGCTCCGTCCATCTTTTGTTGCCACCTTATAGGTTTAGTTTGGGTGTTTCTTTTTTCCCCACCCCAACACTTTTTTTTTGCCCCAACAATGGTCCACATTAATGAAATCAGTAATCAGTACTGTAGAGTTGAACTGCAGCTTTTGAAAATAGGGCTCTCCAGGTCAGAGGACGAGTCGTGGGCGCCAGATTCCTGCTATTTATGAGACGTGTGCTTCTTTGTAAGACGGTAATTCCATTGATGGAGTGAGGATATATTTTTAGTTGTAGATTGAGTTCTTTTCTTTTTGCCCGGTGGTATCATTATCGCCCCTCCTGAGCGTGATTTCTCTGATGTCATGCTGACAGACAGCGGTGACCTTTTCCTTTTGTATTGACCCGGGGGCCGTTTGCTGAGCAAGCATGCTCTTGGACTTGCAGCCGTTCCTCACTTTCCACAGAGCTAACTGAGGACCCTGAAAGTTGTATGGTGTTGACCTGGATTTGAAACAATAAAAAAGGAGTTGATGGAAAAATGCTGTCTTTGCTTTGTTGGTCTGCCTGGTTCAACATAAATCGATCTCTGGAGGATGAATCTATGCTTCATTTTTTTCAGTGGCACCAGGTTTATCCAGAGCCTTTCAGGCATCTTTTTCCTCTGCAACATTTTCCACGTACACCTCAGTGATCCTGATGTGCTCCCAGGCCAGATGACAGGTTTTCTCCAAGTATTACATCCTGATCAGATGCTGAACCACCTCAGCTGCCTCCTGAGATGAAGAAACGGTGACACCATACATTTTCAGAGAAAAATAATTTAAAATTCATTTGTGACATCGTTCTTTCAGAGCTCATGGTCATATGTGAGGGTTAGAGCATCAGTCTACTGGTAAATGGAAAGCTTTACCTTCTAGCTCGGGCCTTTGCAACTTCTGCATGACTGGTGACTGCTGGAAAACCGTCAGTGAAGCCAGGCAGGAGAACCTCGCTGGGAGCCCCTCCTGAAGGCAGACCTGGGAAGATAGCCATGTCTTGCTCTATGGCGCTCGTGAAGAATTAACATGAGTCTGCTGGCCTGTGGACAACAGCCTTTATAATTTAGTCTTACATTTGTTTTGTAGACGTTATTTTATAACTAGGTATCAACTGGTTTATTATTTCCACACATTAAAACATATTTATGTCACCATGAAGGCATCTCAGTGAATTCCCATGATATGAAGTGGTATGTTTACATGCAGATAAAATGCTAATAAAGTGACTGTTTAATTGCCACGATTAGACCCTGTGGAGGCGATCCGGGTCTGGCTGGTCTCCTGTGAGCTCACATGGACAGCAGATGAAGAGCAGGAATTTTTAAGCTGACCTTAAAACATCAAAGAGCTCTGCTGAAGCTCTCAAAGGACTGAGATCATATTCCAGCTTTTACATTTTTACATATGCTGTTTTGTTTCCCTCCTCTCAACATTTTCTGCCTCATTAAATATTGTTTCTAAGCTTGAGGTTATGTAACCCTCTTCTGTTATTTTGACCCCTCAAACTTAAGAGTTAACAGAGATAGAAAGCAGGTTTCCCTCCACTGTGAAATCCTGATATATGATGCTCCGGCTGATGGGAGTGAGGACTGAAGACCCTCCCTCTGCTTCAGATTAAAAAGCATCAGTTTTATCCAGATCTCTTTGTTTTACCTCTGACTGCCAGAACAGGTGGGTTTCCTACACGTTAACTACTTCGACTGTTGTTTTCCTTCATGGCCTCACACTCGGTGACTGAGAGCTCTCAGGGGTTCATTTGTGTGTTGGGCTTTTTTTCATCAGGATGAGAATCGCTGGAGCTCTGATCGTGTTGTCTGCAGCTCTGTGCATCGCTCAGAGACAGAAAACAAGCTGGAGACCGGAGTGGGATTACAGGAATGAAGGCAAGTTTAACAGCTCAGTGTTATCAGCTCGGCGTTACAGGGAGCTTTTTGAGAGGAAAACTCTACTGCTGATTATATTTATATTTTCCATAGAATGTTAAGCATAACCTGATCACACTTTGGAGCACAAATAACCATTAAAATATAGAATATTAGTATTTAAATGAAACTGAATTCAGATATTTATAGTTAAGCATCTGAAAATGTTTAGTTTCAAGTAAACTCTTTTTACATACAAATCTGGTAGTAGGGTTACCATAATTTATGCATTTAGCCAAAAAGATTTGTTTCCTGTCTTTTTTAAAAGTCATTCTTTCAGCAGAGCTTTAGCTCATTTTACTTTTTTGTTTGTTTTTGTTTTTTTAATCTGACTAAATAAATTTCAAATAAATAAATACATTTCTTATAAAACCCAAATGCTTAGAATAAATGTTACCAGAAGTGTTTTCAAATAATTATTCTTAGTTTTCTTCATTTAATGTTTGTCCTGGTAATACTGAGTGAATGTTAACAGATCTGAAGGTTTAAACATCAAGAGAGTTTTCTGCTGGAAGTTGTAAATGGTAAATCATCGATTCCAGTTTGTCAGCTATATTCAGCAGCTCGGGTGTTTTTCAACAGGATTTCAAGCATCTTTGTGATTCTGTGTGTTTTTAAGAAGAATCTCATCTACTTAACTAATGTTAAGGATTAGTTATCAAAAACCTTTCTATTCTGAAGAAGCAGTGACTCAGACCTTTTAAGAAAAAAGAAATTCCTAGCGCTGGAGCTCGTCCTCTGTTATTGTGGCTCAGATTCATTGGTTCTGTGAACTTAAAGTTTGTATGTTATTTAAAAAAGAAGTGCTGTTGAAGAGAAAAGACCTTCCCCTGATGTTCATCTGCTTCCTTCATTTTCAAACATGTTTTATAATTCCCGGGAGAGCCGCGTCTCCACTAAAATCTACACCCATGGCAAGTTTTACACACCAGCCAGTTTATAGAGAAACTCATCCACAGTCTATGAAAACTATTATTAGTTGCAGCTCTGCACTGACTTCCCCACCACTCTCCCTCCCTCTTTTTTTTTTTAACTTCTTTTACTTTTTCTACAAGGTTACAATAATTCATGATACCTGTATGAATGAAGTCATGTACAGTTGTTGCTGATGTAATAAGTTCAAAAGCAGAAAATAATAAAGTTTGTTTCCCTGGCTTGCTCACCTGCAGCAGAGAGAGTGAACACCAGAGGATGTGCCAACCTCACGCTGGTTTTAGACAACTGGAAATACGCCATCATGACGCAGGTCAAAGATCTGCTGCTGCATGACCACAACACTGTGCTGCCCGACTATGGCAGGTGAGGTTTTCTGTTTTAGGGCCTTTTCTAAGTCTCCTGCGGCACAGTTACATCAGTCTGGGTCTTCGGGCTTTGCGCGTCAGTCGAAATGTAAAGAATAACTGTAACATTAAAAGGTCAGCTTTAATTTGAGCAGGTTTACACAGATATAGAAAGTAGAAACAAAATGCAAATGTTCTTGTTTCTTTTCTTCTAAATGTGACCACAATTATTTTTTTAAATTAACATTTGGTATTCAGTATGATTTCAAAGTAGCGACTGAGGCCATGAACTCATCAGGGCATTTTTCTTACATGGACTAATGTACTTGGACACTGCTTTCCACAACCAAGAGGTGAAAGAGGAGAGACAAAAAGAGGGCGCAGAGAAGAAATATAAAACTGAAACTGTTGGAGAGGAAAAAAACACTTTAATTTCTTTGTGTTCTTTCAGGATCCAGCCTCTGTCAGAAGCTCTGGGAGATCTTTACAAAGAGTTCAACTCCCTGAAGGAGCGTCTCGCTGAGCTCACGACCAAGTTTGATGGAGTGGAGGCTTTCGTGGACGATGTGAGATTAGGGAGGAGCCCTGCACCACTCCGAGGTGAACCCCGACCCCCAGGGTCACTGCCAGGGGAGGCGGATGGTGCTGGAGGTCGACCCAGTGGAAGGAGGAGCCGGGTCATAATTCGGAGAATCAAGAAACCTGCCGGCTCACAGGACTGAGGATACAGCATCATACTGTTAATGCCGGGCCGAGACGGGGTTACATGTTTGTCTTATATTTCACCTCACTGTGTTTTCTGGTGCAAATCACATTTATAACTTGGACTTGAGAAGGACAGACTGTAACATAAACTTCATTTACACCTTAACGCTTGAGTTAACACACATGTTAATATAACAGCAAAGAAAGCCCACTCTGAGTCCACACGAATCTGCACAAAAAAGTCTCAGATGTTGGACCAAAAGCAGAAAAGTAAGAACATAAATAAAGTGCACTGTGTTGGCACTCTTTCTGTTTTGTTCAGTCCATAGTAATCACAACATGCTGCTTCTTATAGCATCTAACTAATTTTTAATAAATGGAAAATTACTATTTCCTCCAGAGGAGTTGTTATACTCTTCTTCACCAGCAGATGTCTCCCCAACATCACCGAGATCAAAACAGTGATTTAGTTGATTGAGAACTTGGTTTTCAATCAACTTCAATCTCGACATATTTGACTGAATACAAAATGGATTTAAACTTGTTGTGCTCAATAATATTAATATTAATAATAATAATAATAATGATGATAATAATGACATGGTTTGCTTATGTTCTTTCAAAATAAAAGCCTATTTGCTACAAGGATTGAGGATTTCTAACAATCTTCAATTAGTCAGCATCGGTGGTGTTTCAGTTTTGATTCTTCTTTACTTAGTTTTATCGGTGCGCATTATTGTTTGGATCACTTTTGTGTTTGTATGTTTGTGCATTTTTTCTAGTTAATTGAGCCTAATAGCCTTAGTGCTACTTCACTTAACCCTTAACCAGGATTTTAATCAAGTTATCTACACATGCAGGAAGTTCACAGGTTCATTAAATAAAAGTTGTTATGAACAATACTTACCCATGGTTATTAATACCCATTCATCCATTCATTTTTTTAAAAGTGACGTCAGATACTATTAGTAGTAGTAGCAGCAGCAGTATCCTTTAGTGAGAATAATGTGGATATATTACACATATTTGATGTGATTTTTGTCTCTTTCTTCAAAATAAACCTTGTGCTTTTGTCACGAAGTAGTTTTTTTTTTTTTTTACGATAGAATAAAACATAATAAAGATAGATGTGATTCACGGTAATAATGTCAGTGGCTGGGTTTCTTTGTTTTGGTACTGAAAGTGAAACTTCCGATCATCACCTGAACGCGGCATAAGTTTCTTCTTTGCAGAGAGTCACACAGAAACGAAACTGAAAAGGTTGCTTTCCGGTTTAGGGACTCTCAAGATTTTACCTACAGAAACAAGACGAAGGAATCTGTAAAGACTGCATTATCTAACCAGCTACTGACCTAAACGGATTTTTATAAAACCGGGTAATATTTTACAAATACAAACGTATATGTTAGATCAATAATGGGGAGATGCGGGTAGGGTTGAGAGTTTGAACCTTTGGGGACGGTCCCTGTGTGTGGGCGGGTCCATCAGGAAGTTAAGTAAATGTTTGTCTGGCAGATTTTTAGTGTACGACTTGCGAAGCTAACATACAAACAGGTAAGCAAGAACATCAT